AAAAAAAAAAAAAAAAAAGTTGAAAGTTGTTAGAGGAAGCCACGACCCTCGGTATTGAAGATTATTGACGCAAGGAGGAGGCGTATATCTCATATCCTGATATCATTTCATCATCATCATCATCAGCCCACAAACGTTCACTATTAGACATAGGCCTTTTTTTTTTCGTGCTGGGGGCCGAACCTCCTACGAGGTCGCCGCGCCTAGGGGGCGCGCGGGGTATGTAGGACTTGACGATCTGCAAGGTGTTAGGAGCAGACCGCGGGCCCAAGGAATTTTCGGGCCCACCCACTAAACGACTCCCCTGCACTCTTCGCCCAAGGGACCGATCTTCTCCGAGGTCAGAACCCGGATGAGGTAGGGGAGCTACCGCGGTCAACACTACAACCAGACAGCGCGGCTCATCCCAAGGACGCCCAGCCGACGGAGCCTTCGAGGCAAATCGAAAGCTCTGGAACGTCGGCCGTCTCGGTACGGCAACCCGTCAGGCCGCCCAGACGGTGCTGCTGGTGTCCCGGAATACCCCGCTGGAACAGAACCAGCCTGCTGGGTTGGGACGCGCATCACCGCCAACCGGTCGCTCTTTCGTATCTCCTTGGCAGCGCACTAGAGTGCTGGTAGCGCGCGGCGCGGCCTCTACCCCCTTATGTCGCCCCTTGACCTTCACCGGGGTCTAGACATAGGCCTCCTCCGAGGCGCACCACAAAGACCGGCCCTACGCCCGCCGTCTTTGGTCCACCTTGTGGGAAACAAAAAAAAAGAGAATGAAAACTGAAATAAATAGGAATTACAATGCTGGAGGATCATGCTAGAAAGTGCAATGAGAACGTCACTACTATTGAGTCTTAAGGTGTAGTTTTACGGTTGTATGTAGTACGGATGGGTATTGGCTAGTAGCTACAGTTTGTAGCAACCAGAATCGCATACTATATCTATTGTTGAGCCACATTATCTTCTAAGACGCCCCGATCTGAATTTTGGTCTCATAAGGTTTCTCATAGGGTCAATGTAGTTAAATTGCATTAAATTAGCAAAACTGGTCATGTGTGTATTTTTTTAGCATACGGCTCCCAAAGTGCTTCGCTATCGACTGGAAAACCGACTCCACCACCGTATTATACAATAAGACAGGGGTGTCATCCGTCAGGTAAGTTCAGCGTCACCACAATGCAAGGAGGTGCATTGGAGTGATTGGTTATTTATTGAAATAAAATTAAGCTATTTTGAACATTGACTATTTTAATTTTTGCTTTGTTTTAATTAGCGTGCAAACAACCAAATATTCATAAAAAGAAATCAAATGGTTTATGAATAGTTTTTAAAATTAGATACATTTCTAGATAATTTTTTTTCGTACAGTAGAAAATTTGTTCCAATACGCTTGAAGGAGGCACAGTTTCTAAGATACTGGCTACGTTACCTCGTTAGACAGCCAGACTGATTCTCTGTGCAAAATACCAACCAGCCTTAGCATCACGTGTAGCCAGCCTCCTTCAAGCGTTTGGAGATTTCTGATAAAAATTACTTTGCTTCAGGGCCCCAAGTCCCATCGTCTCCGTTTCGTAATAGTTAAAATGGAATATACTTCAGAATACTCATTCTCTTATCTTACATTCGGAAGTTAGAAAGGGAGGAAGGTGCTTTTGCTAATATCGATTGATCAGGGTTCGAGATTGGCTTGGGTCGTAAGCCCATATTTTTTTCATTTCCCATATGCTTTGTAAGATTACCTGGTAAATTGCTTAATGCCTCTTTCTCTTGCGTAGTTCCGCCGGTAACGACTCCTTCATCGTCGTCGTCCCGACCGATCACCAGCCCCCCAGCTTCATCGTCATCGACAAACAGTGGCGCTCAGCCTCAGGCTAGTAACAGGCTTGCTATTTCAGGGTTGAAACAGTCGGAAATCCACACTTTACTCATGACGATAAACAGTTGAATGATTCTAAAATTTTTTTCTCTACCTAACCTGATAGCCTTGAGAGGCTATTTCAGCGTAATCTTAACTAGCAGGTGAGCTCACGGGGCTCAAACCTGACGACGGTGCTAACACGAACCCTAGCAAGAGCAATGCTTCGCAGAATCTACCACCGGATCGGAAACGCGACCCACTGAGAAGATCCGGCGAGAAACTCAGTGGGCTATGTCAATAAGTTAATTTACTCGTCGAGCCCTTGGCGCAAGCGACGGGTTTGACGAGAACGATGACCGGTGATTCTAATGTGGTGTTTCGCATGTACCGGTTTTTTTGGATAAGGTTCTAACAGATTGGATAGTGGATCGTAAGCTGACTTAGAATTAGGCGGGTGAGCTTACTGGTGGTAGCGTCTTCTGAGTCCGCACGGGTAGGTACCACCACCCTGCCTATTTCTGCCGTGAAGCACTAATGCGTTTCGGTTTGAAGTGTGGGGCAGTCATTGTACTGTCAAAAGTGAGACCTTACAACTCATGTCTCAAGGTGGGTGGCGGCATTTACGTTGTAGATATCTATGGGCTCCGGTAACCACTTAGCATCAGGTGGGCCGTGAGCTCGTCCACCCATCTAAGCAATAAAAAAAAGGGAAATTTAAAAGTATTTGTCTATTGTTGTATATAAAGTGAACGAAATAAGCAACATATAAACTATAAAATAAGCTACGTGGCGTGAAAAGTCAACTTTAGTCCATAGAAACCGCAACTGGTTGCAAGTATATTTTTCTCGTAAGAGCGATTAAAACGTAGACCCGTTAAAATTTATTTTACAGTTTTTAAGCTCGTCTTTTCAATTGTTACTTATTACCCTATATCCGATGTTTTGAATTTACGTCGAAAATTTCATATTACGCTAAATACCGTTTATTTATTTCTAAAATTTGTTTACAAATTTAAGTTTAATTTGTTTCTGTGTGAAATTAAATCGTAAAATTAGTTTTTTTAATTGTTTCTAGTCGACTTGCGAAAACTAAAGAAAATACTAAATACCCTAGTGTTACCGTAATAAATCGACATTAATATTAAATATTTAGCCAAGAGCAATCGTTATTGGCGCATTAAAATTTTAACTCTAAACTTTATATTAAGCGAATAAAGTTGACGGACGTCCGAGTTGACTGTCGAGTCACACAGCAACTGGTGTTTGTTCGATTGAAATAAACACATAAAACTAAGAGCAATTTGCTCAGAAGTTTGAATACCTAATTTATTTGCAAAAAAAAAAACAATTTTTTCCCAGTAAATTTTCAAGTTTTTTGAGTGTGTTGGACATTTGCGAGCTTTTGAACGCTTTTTATATTACGTAATTGGGATCGACAAAGTATTGCTGTCGTAAGGTAGTATTAATTAGTTGATATTTTAAAAGTGGTGCTATAAATGGGTTTCTTCTGACAGGTGCCAAAGCCGTGCTCACAAAATTCAGCCCAATATATCCTACAGCCGTCCAATCAGGGAAAGATACAAACCAAACATGGAACCAAAGGTGGGTATAGCTATTGTTTTATTTATTTTATAGGCCGACGAGCATACAGACCACTTTAATTGGCGTAGATGGGAGGAAGGAATGGGAAAAAGGATGGGAGGATGGAAGGAAGAGCTGACGATCCATTTGGCGCTAAGTTACCGAAGCCCATGGACATCAATAGCGTAAATGCCGCCATACACTTTGAGACACGAGTTTTATGTCTCCATTTTACAGTACAACGGCAGACATGTCCTTCAAAACGCAATACTGCTTCACGGCAAAAATAGGCAGGATGATGGCACCTAGCCGCTCGGTCTCATAAGACGTTCTACCACCAATAAACTTGAGCTGCGCATTACTGCTTCACGGCCGAAATAGCCAGGATAGTGGTACCTAGCCGTACGAGCTCATAAGACGCCCTACCACCAATAAACTTGATAATATTATTGCTCATGGATATTAACAATGGCACGGCTGGGTCACTGGTTACCGCCAAGTACTCCGCAATTTTCATTTGGAAAAGTACCTGTTATAGCGTGAAACATTCGGGAGCTTAATCCAGAGTCTAATGGTAAGTGGCAAGAAATATCTCTGGAAACGCACTGTGGATCATGCAGGAGCTCTATATAATGTGATAAACTCTACCTAGATCACTGTGTGGTGCATTGTAAAAATTAGATGATAGGAACATCTATTTATTTATTGCTTAGATGGGTGGACGAGCTCACAGCCCATCTAGTGTTAAGTGGTTACTGGAGCCCATAGACATCTACAACGTAAATGCGCCACCCACCTTGAGATAAGTTCTAAGGTCTCAGTATAGTTACAACGGCTTTCAAACCGAAACGCATTACTGCTTCACGGCTGAAATAGGCGGGGTGGTGGTACCTACCCGCGCGGACTCACAAGAGGTCCTACCACCAGTACAAACAATTCCTCATAGCTACTCTCTATTGAACATTCGATTGTAATAATTTTAAGAGAAAATTTGAGAGAAGGGTGTGTTAGTGCAGACTGTAAGTGCAGGGTAGGCAAGCGCAGAGTGCGAGATCTTATAATTTATTGCACACAATTAGTGCTAACGAATGCTCTTAGGAATTGTTTGAGATGATCCCCTCATCTCCTTTGTATCATCGCACCTCCCGCCATCGAAGCAGAGTTCATCTATATTATCTGGAACCGCTGCGTACATCGACAGTGTGTTTCCAGAGGTCTTTTCTGCCACGTACCATCCGGCTATGGAATAAGCTCCCCTCCGCGGTGTTTCCTGAGCGCTATGACATGTCCTTCTTCAAATCTAGCGTGTGGGGAGTATTAAGCGGTAGGCAGCGGCTTGGCTCTGCTCCTGGCGTTGCTGAAGTCCATGGGCGACGGTAACCACTCAACATCAGGTGGGCCGTATGCTAGTCTGCCTACAAGGGCAATAAAAAAACACAAAAACAGTCAACAATTAAATGGCAGAAATATGTGTACAATAGGCGGTTATATCGCTAAAAGCGATCTCTTCCGGAGATCTCTTTGTTAACAAAAATCCTGAAAGTATAAAGATACAGCAGGTATGTTGCGGTGTACTATTAAGAGAACATTAAGAAAATGTGTACATACATACAATAAATAAATATATACAGAGTATCTAAGATATATCAATGTGCCCATTTTGGGAAACACTACCGGCTTTGATACACGCAATTGAAGCAGTTCTCGTTCCAAGGATGACACAAGCCTCTGCATCAAACTTAAATCAAATAAGGCAATTAGTTAACTTTAACACCTATAGAACTTCAATAGGACCACACACAAGTGTTATATGGACCGTTTATTTTGAAAGTGGTGTAAGTCAATTTTCTTTTGTTTCGAGAAAATTAAAAGTAACTATATTTGTTGATTTAAAAATACAGGCAAATCATATGAGGTCTGGTTATGCCACCTACCTCTGTCAACTGGACTTACACTACTTTCATAATCGATGATTATGCAATTTCATTTACCGACCGATTTTAAGTTGTAGAAAACATGGGATTTTTTTGAGAAATTAAACACGGACTAGTTATATATAAAAAAAACTTCAGAGGTGTCAAGGGACACCCGGATGGAACGAAGTTCCTTTCGATTAATTAGTGAAGGAATTGTAATATTTTTTTTAAGTTATAATAAAAAATTACGGCATTATGAAGAAGAAAAAAACAATACTATGAACTAAATTACTATTGTTGAAACGCTATCTCGAGAAACTGTACTCATTACGCGGACCAATCGGATACGAGCAATGTCACACGATAAGCGCCTACACGTTGATTGGTCAGAATGACGGATCTAAAAAGTGTCGTGACAACTTTTCGTAAGAATTTTTTCCGTCTAGCCCCCTTTCACAACGCGCGATAAGGAACTTCGTTCCAAAATTTACATTAAATTTAGCATGAATTACGTGATAGCTCATTTTTCTCAAAAATGGACTTACACCACTTTCAAAATAAACGGTCCATATATAGTTGAAATTTGTCCAAGTGAAAATGTTGGCTTATAATTTCCAGGTAACGGAAGCCATCCAGCCGCGCACGTGTAGACACTAAGTAATTTTAACATAAAGCTCATTTCGTTTTATATAATTAATTACATTAAAACGTACTCAAAGAGACTGGTTTGGTTCCTTATTTTAAGAAAGCGTTTGTTTTACGCGCCTACTGTATACTCTAAGAATATATCGACGTTTGAAAGGCAAACGTGACTAAGCGACAATTCCTGCTTTGGACATAAATGATAGGCAATAACCATATTCGTTGCCAATAAAAAAAAATATTTCTAGGTCCTATTAAAATCATTTCAATCCTACAGCTACTAGCTAGATTCTACTACAGCTGGATTCGTTAAAATAAATTTTGTTTTCAGGTATCTCAACTTTAAATTAGTCTACTGTAAAGTTCACGCAATGTCGCTTAGTCATGTTTGCCTTTCAAGCGTCGATATATATTATATATACGTAAATATTCCAATATATGAGGATATTGTATACGTATGTATATTCAAAAGATCAAAGTACGCTGTACTCACACTAAAATTGTAACTTGTTGAAGTTGTATTTATATCAATTATCATATTTGCGAGGGCAAAAGATCTCGCAGACGACCTCCAACACGATGGACCGACCTCATAAAATCTGTGACTCACTCCAATATAAATGATTGCTCTCTCACTGTGCTAAACATCGTGACATATGGCGTCGCATCGCGAGAGCATCTGTATCGCAGGATTCGACTGAAGCATGACCACGACCACTCTGTCAAGAGTTTATGACTAGGAAGAAGAAGGAGAAGAATTCTATTGACTATCAGGTTAGGTGTCAAGCTTGGTTCTAAGTGAATCCAATGCTAGTTTACGCCGGTTAGTACATATTATTAGTTGACAGTTTATTTGGTTTAGGCAACATCTTTGCAACTTCACAGGAGAAGTCGTTTATATTATTTTTTTTATATTTTTTTTTTATTTAATTTATTCTATACAGTAAGCTGTCGTAAGATATTCAATCGTAGTTTTGATAAAAACAATTTCGGCGGTGCATGCACAATGTCCATTGACATGTCCATATCAATTAATCTACTTAATCTACAGTAGATCTAGCAGATCTTGAGGCACTCTTCTTCTGAGTCTTCTTGTAGTCATTTGGTTGTCCGTTAAATGCTTAGCAAGGTTATTCGTGTTTATAATTTGGAAAAAATATCATAACAAAAAAACTTCTTCAGCTATATATTTGAATGGAGTAAACTTAATTGCAGTTCAATTAAAAACATCGAAATGCGCTAATACGAAATAAAACGCATCTATAATTAATTACAAAGATAAATGTCGCGTATTAGGCGAAATGTCACTTAAACCAAACCCTTCGATATATTCTTCACAGTGACAATATGATTTTGAATAACTAAGAAAGAAAGAAAGAAAGAAATCATTTATTCGCTAAGCATAGTGATAATCAGTTATTACATAAGTTAAAAGCAGCGTGCATGCTTTGTCATTATTTGACATGCCAATTTTAGTGCAGTGTAAGATTTATTATAATATTATATAATTTACCATTCATTCATCCATAATTCAACTAATAATAAAAAAATCCATTTATTTTCAATGTAGTCCCTAAGAAAATTAACTGAAATAACTGTCGATTTAATTTATCTAAAGATAAAAAGTTTCCCAGAAAATCGGAACATTAATAACAAACAAGATTTAATACAATTTTGATAATTTAATAAACCCCAGTCGCAGTACGCGCGTAAAACAAAAGCGCTATTTATAAACCTATATTACGTAATTTAGCCTTAATTTTACTGAAAATTTAATTACTCGAGGAATTCTCAGAATTATGTTTAATATATAAAATTACGATAATTTATATTTAACGTGATATTTAAAACGTCTGCAGAAAGAGTTGAGCGTGCGAGTTCAAAGGAACCTATTTATATCTTCATAATGAACTTCGTTTTGATCAAGAAGTTAAGAAGTATTTATTTGACTAATAGCCCGAACAAAACTTATCAATACGAACACAGATCAACAGAATTCGCGTAAAACTTCGAATTCAAAAGAGCCGAGTCGCTTAGATCATACAAGACATTCTCGTATTTTATTGGTACTTTTTGAAAAAACATGACTCATGCGGCGTTACCTCGCTCTGAAGCGTTCCATTTAAGGCTTGAAGTGCAAGCGAGAGCGCGCAACGAGCGATAAAGAGGCACAATTGGCCTCCGCGTTCGGCAGCGTTCGACATCTGTCTCTCTCCTACTCGAGTGAGCGATGCATCCGCGTGGACAGCTGCTATTTACATGTTTTCGTCAAGTATGAAGTTCAGTGAAAAGTGAATGTGGTGTCAATTGTCCATACAAAATATCTATCAAACAAATAAAATTAAAATTTTCTTTCGAAAAATAAAAACCATTCCATCAGTATTTTCTTATGACGTTGTCACGTTCAACTACCGTCATTAAACCGACTTTACAGACAACCGATTTTTTTTTGAGATCGACAACGCGTTTTATTCTATGGCGTCATATATTAGCTCGGGAATCGTGCGCTTATTCAAGCAATTCACAAAGATGATTCAAAAATACTTTTGGTGTTTCTGACTGCATTTGTTTCATTCCTTTTACGGCTTTAGATATTTCGATGGCGTTACGATTTTAATGGCCACCGACAAATCTGCAACTGTAAAAGTACTTTTGAACAATTCTATTGATACCGGGTGAGAAAAATACTTGTGAATTGCACATTGATCTATCGAAAGAAATTAGTTTAATTGTTTTAAATATTACGTTGAATTACATGTATTTTTAGTGAAGTGACAGATAAAGGTGCGTTTTAGCCAATTGAAAATTCTATAAGGAAAAATCTATTTATGTGATCGAAAAAAGTAATTAAACTTAACAAGTTTCTGAAACAAGCCTAAAACTTAAAAGCTTTAATTGTAAAATGTCAAAGAAATGTGTTTTTAGTGTTAACTATTAATTTAGATATTATAAGTATGGTGTTCGCTTTGTGAATTTTTTTAAGTGTATTATTATAACCGTGACGTCTTATGTCATTTTGACAGCTGTCACATTGTGAACTGTCTATAGGTACTGAGTATTATTTTTATCTTACTTCGAATGAAATTTTCGAAGGATGCATTGTTTTTAGACCAGTCGATTTTTGGATTTCTATTTAAAGATTACTTTGGAATTAAGAATGTTTTAATATAGGCTGATAATGATATTATACATTTTACTAAAACGTGAATATGAATCGGAAATCGTCTATTGTAAAGTCCTTTCGTGCGCAGAACATTAGACAAGCTAGAGTTCAATTCGCTTCTTAATTTTTTGATACCTCGACCGGCAGGATATCACTAGTGTAAGTTACCGGTCTTACAAGTAAGGACAAAGAGATGATCCTCCACTGAGCGAGTGAAATTGCTGAGTAGATACACGGTCCGTATGTTAATATTCAGAATTTGTCAGCATACTTCAAGATGAAAATGTCGTTAGCGATATTTTTTGTGTTACATGATGGCTACCATAAAATGAGTGCTCAAAGTAAATTTACCTTGTCCTACAGGTCAACGGTTTAAAATGTATTATGATATCTAAGAACTATGTTGATAAAGGTTAAATTTCCACAGCAAGATAATTGAATTTCATCATTGCTTGTTTTTTTTTTCTGTGCAGGGAAGGACATCCTGATTTTTGAATTAAGACTGATATAGCCATGCGTAATAAAAATAATTACTAAAACATTTTATTTAGGTTTATTTTTAGCGACACTTATTGTTCGTTGTTTTGAAAAAACTTCCTCCTGGAGTGAAGAAGAGAATCGGTTAAATACCATTTTACAGAATCGCGATTTTATAAAAGGCAATCTTATTTACTTATCGCACGTCGATGGCACTATACCAAGCTTACTGGTTTACTTTTTTGTTGGTGGTAGGATCTCTTGTGAGTCCGAACGTGTAGGTACCACCACCCTGCCTATTTCTGCCGTGAAGCAGTAATGCGGTTCGGCTTGAAGGGTGGGGCAGCCGTTGTAACTATACTGAGACCTTAGAACTTTTTTTTTTTTATTGCTTAGATGGGTGGACGAGCTCACAGCCCACCTGGTGTAGAGCGGTTACTGGAGCCCATAGGCATCTACTACGTAAATGCGCCACCCACCTTGAGATATAATTTCTAAGGTCTCAATTATAGTTACAACGGCTGCCCCGCCCTTCAAACCGAAACGCATTAGTGCTTCACGGCATTTTATTCTAAGGTATTCGTAATTTCCAAATCCAGTGGCGTGAGCTATCAGTATTTAATTGAGAAATGGTTGGTTACTAATGTGTTATTAAAAGGTTTCTCCGGTTGTGATTAGATGGATTGCTGGTAGTTCAAAGGTATTTCCAGCTTTGCCACGACATGTAGGTTATTAGGGCCTCTGAACGAAGGAATGGTTGTAATGTTGTGCTTTGGGAGGTGTTAAAGGAAAACGTCTTCTTGCGTGTATTCCATGTTTAATTATCATCTTAATCCTAGTTTACAACTATGAAGAAGCCTATGTTTCTGGGTGGTCCGCCTTATTAGGGGGACATACGAGATTACACCTATTAATTATGCTATATACTAAATGCTATGCTATGCTATAATATATAAGTATACCTACACACTTCATGGTTATTCGCTGAGAAGATTCGGCGCGAAACTCATTCTGTTTCTGATGTGCAGGTTTTACGATGTACTCTCCGACGAAGTCAACCATATCCTGTGATTTGGATATTAGATCGTATTGGTAACTTGAGTTTCTCACTAAGTCTCCGGATGGAAGTTTTATCAAATAATGTTTTTTACTTTCCAAAGGTCTCAAGCTTTCTCTGTATCAAGAAGTTTTTAATTAAGTCAAAGTTTAACTGTTAAGTATTTTGTAATTTGAGATGAAAAAACCTTTTTTTTTTGGTCAGCTATAAAAAAAAAGGTGAGATCGTGAATTTTTAACATTAATTAAAAGAGAATTTTGATTAAAAGCGTTCGTTTTATTAACGAAACCTCCTTTTTGCTTTTTTATGCTTTAATATAATTACGACATGGTTTCTTGTTTTTGTTCCAATTTTGCGGGCTTG